CAGACTTTTCTAAACTTTTCCCACAACTGATATAAGACTAAAATGGATCTATAATTACTGGGAAAATTTTATCACCTCCCTTGAAAAGAAGAATGACATTAGTTAACTTCTAATCCTCTGATATCTGTCCACTGTTCAAGGACTGATAAAAAATAGTAGGAAATGGCTAACATATCCAATCTTTAAACTTCTTTAAAACCATTGGGGAAATATTATCTGTTCTAGGAGCCTTATCATTCTTTAAACTTCCCAATTTTTTCTTAACCAGCTCGGAATTAACACAGTCATTTTGTTCCCTCCCGTTTCCATCTATCAACTGTTCAAGATGTGGAATACTGCTTAAATCTTCGTTAAAAAACACTGAAGAAAACAGATAATTTAATAACTCAGTCATCTCATAATCCCATTACTTGCGGCTACCCTTTTCTTTCTTTAGGGAATATGTTTACTTTGAATATTTAAAAAATTATCTTTCAAATTTTCCACATCTGATCAATGTCTCTAAATAATACACCATCATCATGAGCATAGATGTAATAGTGTAATAATACTTTTAACGATTGCTGAACCATATAATTTTTTTATATTTATGAAGAAATTTATAAATGGTCCCATAATGTCGCCCAAAAAATCCCTCGCTGGTCAAAATCTTTTTCTAAAGTTACGTATAGGTGATTAGGGCTAAGTTTTGAGTTTAGTTTAATGTAACGCCGAATTTTAATTTCTAGTGAAATATAGAGCAATAATATAATTTGTTTTCTTGCCAAAAAGTATACTAAAATCAGGATATAGGTATGGACACGCAAACAACAAACTTGCGCCCTGGAGATCCGAAACTTATTGCAGATATTGTTAATCACTTGAAGTCTCAAGGGATGTTTGATCAGTTTCGTCGGGATTGTTTAGCTGACGTTGATACAAAAGTAAGCACTATCTTACTAACTTTGACTAAGTAACTTGTGTGGTTGACATATATTACATATTCTCCTTTGGTTTCAATCATAGGTTCTTAGAATTATTGTAAACTGTAAGGTATGTCTGAAAAGAACTGATTTTTACCGTTATATATGTTGTGATATTTTTATATTTATTGAATTTGATGTGCTGAATAAGTAACACATGCTATGGCTGTCCATGACGGGGCAAGTACTACCACCCCCACCCCATAGTATACCCTAATCTCACATTTCGTAGCTAACTGAAATAACTAAGTTTTGCAAAATCAAGCTTGACCATCAAAGAAGCAGAAAGGTGCGTTCAAGGTGAATGTCTTTGTGAGCCAATCAAAATTAAGATCATTCGTGAAATGAATTTGTGTCTTATTCATAGAATAATTATTGGTAAAAATCAGTTAGATTAAAAACTTCTAATCTATAGAAAAGCCAGTCTGTTTTGGTAACACTACCTTCCAACAATGGCTTTTATGCCATGTTGTTTAGCAACAAAAGTATAACCTAATATTGTTGTTAATCTATGTACTGAAACTATAAAATGAAATGTATAGATAACAAAATTGGAAAAAATATTTGTTTATTTCTTAATTTAGAGTTTCTGTTGATTAAAGAGGTTTATTATTTTTTATTAAAAACATTGGTGATATAATGGAAAATAGCTTAATTCAGAAATTATTTAAAATTGAATTTTTACTTTACTGATAAATTTTATGCACTTGGCTCTAGGCTAGGTGATCCCACACTGTTTTTACTTTAGGCTTATTTTACCAACACTCACTATACTTATAAGGTTTCACAGCACCCCACTCATGTCTCCTTGCACCCCTGTCACTAAAATCATAATGGGTAGACAGTAATCGAGCTATTCTATCTGGATAAATGCATTTTAGCTTTTATGACTCCTCCTATTTAGAGCGTGACATGATGTGACACACACTGGCTCTTATATAGGTTAAGATTTGCATATTATATATACTGTTAGTTATTGCATATTGTGGTGGTGCTACTAGTAATAATAGTAGCACTTATAATATGTTGAATTGAAACATTGTTAATCTTCATGACTATCATAATTTATTAAATTATGTTGATATTTTTCTTTCTTCTAATATTGTATATTACATTATTACAATTAGCTGTTGCATGTTATAATGGTGGTACTAGTATTTGTATTGAGTTGTAAAATGGTCTGGCTGCAAAGAATTATACAGACTAGGGTCAATTGAAACACTCATTACTTGAAATGACTACCATAATTGACTAAATTATGTAGATGTTTTGATTCTGGTTTAAAATTATTCCTTCATGGCCACTAAATGTTGACTCATCTTTTGAATGTATGGTATTTATTACATTAGCATTTGTGTTCTTTAAATGGAATCTCTACTAGTGTAGCATTTTTTGAATGTGCTTAAAATCTATATAGAGCCCAGAGACACTTTCAGCACCAAACATCTCAGCTTTGTCTTGGCACATGAGATCTTACCTGTTGATATCACTGATTCTCAATTCTGGGGACAATTAGTGTAACCACTGTTTTTGTAACTTAAAATACTTTTTTGATAATGCTTGTATGATAGTTAGTAACACAAACCTGCAAATTTGAACTTCATAAAAGTTAATTTGGTTTTTTATAACAGATTTTTCATAACTCAGCTACATAGATTTAAATAATATTAATTTTTTTTCTATTACGTAAGGATTTTTTACAAATTGGGAAGAAAAAATTCTTACTTAGATCAAATTATTATTTCATTTACCACAATGAACATTTTTTATTATACTGTTTGTTAACAAAAATACAATCAAATTGAAGAAAAGGGAAGAACGTTAATGTCAAATGAATATGCATCCTTTTTAATCCTGTTTTTTTTTGTGTGTGAAATCTACATCTTTTAGTCTCAAAACTATGTGTTGTGGTCTTTTTTTTTTATGTATTGCATCTATAGCATCTCGTTTCAATGACCAGCAGTAATCAGCCATCCTGCTGATGTTCCACCTTCTCAGATACCTCCTCTTGAGTTCACTGATGTCTTGATGAAACCTTTTCCCTTGTTGATTGCTGATGGCACCAAGATTTTCAAGGAAATAGTCAATATGCGAATGTAAGAAATGAACTTTAAAGCTCATATTGCAATGCAGCTCTTAGAATGTATTGAGCATATTATTGACAATATTTTCATAATTTGGGTCCTTATTGTTTCCTAAAAATTGGTCAATAACATCTTTAAAGGCAATCCAGGCTTCTTTTTCAACTTTCCTCATTGTCTTTTCGAACTGTTCATCTGTAGTCAATTACCTAATCTAAGGCCCAATAAAAATCCTTTTTTTAAGTTTCACTATCTGAAAGAGCTGGGAATTCCCCACATAAATACTTTAAACAATCGCCATCTTTGTCTAAGGCTTTTACAAACTGCTTCATCAAGCCCAGTTTTATGTGAAGTAGAGGTAATAGGACTTTCTTTGTGTCAACCAAACTTTCATGTTCAGTGTTTTTCGATCCTGGTATCAGGCTGACTCTGCATGGCCATTGCTTCTTTATCCAGTGTTGATTTCATGCTCTGCTGTCCCATTCACACAAAAATACATTGAATCTTCGTATAACGGATTGTTGACCCAACAACATACAAAGGACTTTTATGTCTCCACAAAGTAGCCAACCATGTTCTTTGTATTTGACCGTATTAAAAAGAAGTTTGAGATTTTTGTATATTTCCTTAAAGTGAACCAAACAAGCAATAGGAACAGATGCATATATGTTACCATTGTGAAGGAGAACACCTTTTAGACTTCTTTTGGAGGAATCAATGAACAATTGCCACTCACTTGATTCATCGACTGCAGCTCCTAGCATTGGTAATAATTCCTCAATATTGTTGCAATAAACCAGTGAACCTTCTTGCAAAAGTATGGTATAAACTTTTTTCTTACAATTTCTGTACCAGTAAAATTTTCCTGGAGAAAATAAGTTCTTAGCCTGAAGTTTGGACCCCAAAATCTCTGACAAATCGTTTGGAAGGCCCAAATCTTTTACCAGCTCATAAAGTTCATCTTGTGTGAAAAGTTGTGGTTCACCAGACATTTTAGGTTGAAAACAATCCCTATCATCATTTCTATTGACACCAGATTCAGAATCAATTGAAACTGTATCAGGATTCTCTAGTGAATTGGGTACAGGTACATCAGGTTCATGAGCAACAGGTCTTATAGCAGATTGAAGGTTTGGTTAAGAAATCTCCTTTTTATTTTGAGTGTTGTAGCCTTGCACGTTACATGAGCAAAAATAGCTGTCATCTCCATGGTTTATAGGCTCATGCCAGACCATTGGAATTTCAAAAGGCAAAGACTTTTTCTTACCTTTAGTCCATTGTCTCAACTCTTTGACACAAACAGTGCAAACTGTGTGGAGCCCATGATTTGTCTTGGTCTTGACAAATTCTGTAATGTTTTGCCTTTTTTTTCTTTACAATTTTCCCATAAATATAACAGAATATGTTTGGATAATTTACACAACCTCTTATTGCCATACCAATGAATAAATAATATTGAAAAGAGCAAAATAATGTCAAAGTGCATGCACAAACAAATACAATCCAGAAATAATGGGTAATTTGGCCTGTTAACCATTTATATACTTGCATTGTGTTTCTCATGTGTTCTAGAACGATCATTAAGACTCCCACGGCACAATTGGTCTAGAGAAATCTATAGCCAGTGGTTGTCAACATTTTAAGCACAACAAAATGTGACCTGATTTCAATTAAAATGATTCACTTATGTAAAATTACATATCACATTTTGTGAAAAATCAGATTCAGCATACAGGAATTACTGTAGGACATTTAAAAATTTCAAGACAATAAAACCATCGAAGGCCTGTGTAATTAGTGGTAATTAAAACATTGGGAAATTTTGTAAATATCTTTTGTCCATGTAGTTATTATTATTGGTTATTAAAAATATTTTTAAAACTATATAACTTATGATATAAGTATTCTTTTTCCAATCTCCTCATTGCCTTTCTATCCTAAAAAAATGTTTATTCCAAATTTTTCTGATGCCCTCACCCTAAAAAAAAATTGGCTTAAATTACCTTTTATGAAATTTGTTTAAAATGTGCTCATACACCATTCTACCTAGCTTGTGTAACAATTCCCATGTTCATGTGGTACTAGGATGTCAACATTAGCCTTGACTAGCTTGATATAAGTATTCTTTTTCCAATCTCCTCATTGCCTTTCTATCCTAAAAAAATGTTTATTCCAAATTTTTCTGATGCCCTCACCCTAAAAAAAAATTGGCTTAAATTACCTTTAATGAAATTTGTTTAAAATGTGCTCATACACCATTCTACCTAGCTTGTGTAACAATTCCCATGTTCATGTGGTACTAGGATGTCAACATTAGCCTTGACTAGCTCGACACAATTAGTAAGCTGTTTGTTCCAGGGAATTGTTTAACCCTTTCCAATGGGTCATGAGTGAAAGGCCATGTCATTGCATTTGTTGACTTGCATTCAATATTTTATTGAACTGTTATTTCATGAATTTATTTCAATAAGTTTGTTATCAAGCTGTAGATTATAATTCAAATTTTAGTATTATACATTACTCAATTTCTTAATTTAAAATTAAATATAAAAAAACACAGTTAAACATTGATTTTTTGTGTGTCATGTGGTATGTTGAATGCAACACTGGCTCAAATTAGATGTTTGTGATGTAAAAATACAAAGTCTGTAGTTTCTTATGAATTAGGAACTCAAATTACCGATATTGACAAGCTAGAATATAAAGTAAGAACCTTTTTTCTTTTCTAATTGCTAAGAAATTGCTCATGTAATAAATCAAACACAGTGGCACCCCACACTCCTCTTTCCATTTTTGGAAATGCTCCCTTATATACACTTACCTCTGTATATGACATGAATAACCAATCAAAAGCTCAAAATGTCCTCCTAGTGGCTTTCTCAGCGATTTCAACGTCTTTGGATGTCATCTCTTTCTTTCGAACCAATATTTCAATGAGGTAGGTTGTGTCTTTAGTCTGGTCTAAATTTCTAATTTTTTAGACTTAAATACAGCTTAGTTAATAAGCTTGATAAATTATAGTGGAATTCTAATATATATTAAATATTAGGCCTATGTCAGTCATTAGGCTTATCACCTTTACGTTACTTAACTTCACATCAACTCTATTCTCTTCGCTATTATCTGTCTAATACTGTCTTGTCTGCTGCTTTCCACTCATCTCACGCTATTTATATCTTTATTACATAGTCATTTGGCCACTTTCTATAATCTCAACACCAATTAGTTATTAACAAAACTATCTACAATTGTCTGCTTTAAGTCTTATTATAACAAACTTAAAAATGATAAAATATTCACTCGCAAATATACATTAATCACTAAAATTTAAACCAAACAGTCTTTTATATCATCACAGTTAACATATGCTTACTAATTTAAAAGTTATAGCATGAAAACTATAACAAGCACAAAATGGTTATGTTGCGTCAGCGAGGTCATGTGACTAGTATCACGCTACTTCTTTCTCGAACCTTCGGGAGATTACTAGATTGGGGTAGTCTGGTATATATAAGATGGTCACAACGTGACGGGACAATGTGTAGGTAGTGAGTAATTGAACTGCAGTCAGAGAGTAATGTTGAAGTTGAGCACGTTCGTTGTTTAGCGCGACTGTTGAAATTAAGTGTATCGTAAAGTTGTATTCGGAAAGAATAAACCAGTTTTATTTAAGATAGGACTTGTGTCGCTAAAGTTTTGTCGGAACGAATTTACGGAAAATTAACTAATGACTGGAGGCGTAACAGTTATGTGGTCTGTCCCTGGGACTGAGCTAGTGCTGAAAGAGTTAATTAGACATTATATATAACACAATAAAATTCACATAGACTAGAGAAGTGACATATGTCATGTTAACATTGTTTTATAAATCTACGATATATATTGATATAAACAACTTATTAGTATTAGTAATGACACTAACCAGCACCTGTAAAGTCCATGATACAGGCTACACAGTATTACATAGATAGCTGCCCTATTCCTTTTGTTTTATACTTTATTTTCCCCCCTGCTGAATATTTGTGTCAGTAGTCAACAATAAACACATTGTATAGAGCTAAGCTCAACATTAGTTATCATCATATAACTGTTATGACATCATCATGCTAAATTAGTACTTCCTGCTCAAGTGGAGATCTTCTAACTAATAATCCTACCACAGAAATTGTGAATCACTCATCAAATGTGTAACTCACATTACCATGTTGAATGTCCTGATGCATGAGCTGTTCACAAGCATACCTCTTGAAGAATTTTCATTATTTTTCATTATCTTATCTAACCTAATAAGTTTCTAATTTACTAAGTTACTTTTATTATGAAAAATAAAAATATAAAAGAAAAACAAGAAATATAGTTCTTACCTTTGATCTTTTTGTTTTTCTTTTTGCTATCAGTTGCTAATGAAATTTAGGCCTATTTCTTTTATAATGATAGTACTAGTACACTAAATAACTTTCATTTACTTAAATAATGAACTTAAGAACACAAAATAATAAGCATAAAGCAAATAATGTCATGTAAGTATAATAATTTAACTGGCTTTTTAGCTAAGACAAGAGGGTCTTAAATTAATTCCCTTTGCTGCACAATCTGAACACCACAAGATAAATTTTCAAACTGAAGATGAAATTGAAATACTTTGTAATGAAAACAATGTATCCTTATATGTCATTTGATAGATTAAAACTTTGCCTTTCTATTGGTTGTAAATGATATAGTATAAAATGTCGCAGAGAATTATTAGCAGTTTGTGAAAGAATGTGATAGGTGGGTGTGGCAAGTGAGTTTGACTATCTCGTTTATAACTGTAAACAAATAAGATTGAAGACTATAAAAATTACACTTTACCTTTGTAATATCTATATTATAATGAGTAATTAATGTTAAGTTCTGTACTTCAGATAGGACTGGTAAATAAATCAGAGAAGGGAGAAGAGAACAAATTTCATAATTCTGATACTATTTTTTTGAATATTCCTTATAAAAGTAAGAATTGAAAGTTAATATTGTACTAACATTTAATTTATCAATTACATTTTGATGCTGAGTTTATTCATATACATTGATAATAAAGCAGTTTAATTAAATTTTGAATGTAACTCTGTAAAAGGTTGTGACGTGCACTTTGCCTTATCTGTAGCAAGGGGTTACTGAGGCCGATTCTGTACAGTATAAACCAATAAAAAGTACATAGTGTCACAAACCAACACATTAGAAAACTGAAATCTGTACTGATTAGAAATGCATGTCATTATCAGTAGAACTGAACAATTAGTTGAATTCACTAATTGAATCATTGAAGCTCATTAATCTATTACATTGAACTAATCGATTATTTCTGAGACAATATGCATCTCTGCACAAAATTAAGCTATCTTACCTGTGCATCTGATGTTAGTCCCTCTTATGCACCCTCTTATGTTAGTCCCAGTCCATCATGCATCATCCATCTGTTCCCATTCTCAATCTTCATCTGTGACTTTTGTTTGGTCCCTGGCCTGGTAGACAGGTCTTTTCCAGCACATGGCATCTTTGATTATCCATTAACCCCAGTGCAGCATTCCTCCAGACTCTCCGGTGCACTGTTTCTCCCCTTCTTATTGTGGAGTATGGCAGTCCTTGCCACATACCAGTTCCTAGCTGCTGGGGTGGTGGACCATGGAGGCTTCCTCCTGAGTGTGCTCAATTCCACTCAGTTGAGAGTAGGGTGTTGGTGTTCTGTCAATGTCAGTGGCATTGATGCTCATTCTATAAACATATTTATGAAATTGTGTTAAATGCTTTGGAAGCATAAAATTTGAAGTTGATGGGTAATTTTCTTTTATTATTTATGAAACAAGTACAGTCCAAACTGATAGGTTGGCAGAATTACTTACTTCTTTATTGATATGAATTTGTGAATTAAGTTGCTTTGAGACAGTGTTATGCGCATATTAAAAAGTACTAGTTGAATTCCATTCTTGAAGGTTTCTTTATTGCTCTGTGCATATTAAAAAGTACTAGTTGAATTCCATTCTTGAAGGTTTCTTTATTGCTCTGTGCATATTAAAAAGTACTAGTTGAATTCCATTATTGAAGGTTTCTTTATTGCTCTGTGCATATTAAAAAGTACTAGTTGAATTCCATCCTTGAAGGTTTCTTTATTGCTCTGTGCATATTAAAAAGTACTAGTTGAATTCCATTCTTGAAGGTTTCTCCATTACTGTAATAAAATTATCTAAATTTAAATCCCAAAACACATTTACCTCAACTCACACTAAAGCTTTATTCCAACTAAAGTTTCTCTTCTCTGCCCATCTAAGCATTGGTATGAATCTTACCTCACTTGCTCCAGCTCGTATACCCCACTATATTGCCCCAACCAAGTTAAATCTTCTTATTCTCTCCATCTACATCAATGTGCTCCATCCCTTATCTTTATATAAGATTCCTGTTATTACTTCCTATTCTTTGATAGGCTGTTTAGGCAGAGTATTCATAATGAATCTAAGTTTCAAATGGACAGCAACTGCCTGTTGTAGAAACCTACAAATGTAGAGGACAACATTTCGAAAGTCTTCTGCCTTTCATCTTCAGGTATGAATTCATTAGATTCATTACTTCCTATTTGCTTTTCTCAATAACAGAACATTATGAGGGTGGCTGTCACATGCTTGCTGCGAGTTTCTGTTCAGTGTTGAATGGCTTTAGTTATACGTATAAACTTATAGTTTAAGCAGAGGTAAGTATTATTGGAATCATTGGTTGGACTTTGCTTGGGTTTGTTCCACATCCTCCTCGTAATTCTGGGGGCAGGAAGTGTTGCCTTACCTCTGAGGTTGGGGAATAAGGATTTGGTTTGTAATCCCAAGCTGGGTTATCTCTGTTTTTTCAGGTTGACTGAGGTGCGAAAGGTCCCATAATTTACTGCACATCTTTAAACATCCTTCTGTAAATTGACATTTATGCTGAGTGCTCTTGACTGTAGGTGTGCATTCTTGTTAGTACCAGTGAACTTGACTTCTACATCTCAGACACAAGTACTGTCCAAGAATTTGGGAAACTAGGAATTTCACTGCCCAATATTTTTACTTAGTTTTATAGATTACAGATTTATATATAAGGAAACAAGGAATTTCACTGCCCAATATTTTTACTTAGTTTTGTAGATTACAAATTTATATATAATTAATCATTATTTAACTTTTTGAAGCTTTTGAATCGATATCTACAAAGCTTCTAATTCTTGTAATGTTAGAAAATATTTTGCAGTACTAAAACATGTTCTTATGATCATTAATAGTCATCGTATCAAAATTTACGTCAGAGAGTTGAAGGCTATGTTTCCAAGTTTCTATCTACCCAAACCTGGCGTCCTGATTTACAGAAGAATCAATTACGAGACAGCTTGAGAAGACACATTAATGAGTAAGTATATGTACGTCTATTTCAAAAATATTGTACTAAAAGAATATAACTTATAAACACACATTTTAAGTGACAGAAGGCCACTTTGCTGACTTAGGTCACCTCAATCCATAAAAACAAAAACCAACACCAAGTAATCTATGCTCTCTTTTTATCCAACACAACACAAACTTGAGTCTAAACTATCAACAAACAGTATATCATCAGGCAAGTTAGTCAATTAGCTGTAACAGAATTATAAACTTAAATAAATTTATAAATTTAGACATTATATAAATGTTTTCACTTTTTTATTTTTAGGATTTTTTATAGTATTGATCTAATTTTTTTTGGCTCATGATAAGCTTAAATATAATGTACTGTTTGTAGGGGTTATACAGAAATTTAGAGTGGGTTTATCTTGAGAATTCAAGTTTGCATTGTGGCTTTAAAGAGCCAAAAGATGAGGTGAAATTTGTGCTTGAAGAGAAATTGTAATATGTTTTGTGGAGGGTTCCGAAGTTGAGAAATAAAACAATTAGTTTTTATTAAGGGGTTAAGTAGTTAAGAATAGAAATAAAGAGTGTTTCCCAGGACTCAATTTTTTTTTAATATATGTAAGCATTTTGGTCATGTCAGCTGTCTTCTTTGTCAATATATGCAATGCTCTAAGTTGCATAATACTATGTAGCATTTCTTTGAGCAGTCATTTTTAGGTTCTAGGTAAAGATGTTCAAGTACTGAAGAAGTGAGTTGGGGATCCATGTGGCAGGTAGGTTTCATGATTTCGAGGTTTTGAGGAAATAAGTTAATGGTAGATTCAGAAGAGAGGAGTTGCAAGAGATAAGTATAGAAGCAAGGAAGTGAGAGAAAATGGCTGAGGAAGGGTGAGGGAGACTTTCATAGATAATGAGGTTGTGGTAATTTTATATTATTTTGTTAAGACTGTGGAATCAGGAGTATGTATACAAATGTCAGATGGTTTGGATCATCTGATACCAAAATATGTGATGAAGGTGACTATTTCTTTTGGTCCAAACAGCAACAGTATGCATGAAATTAATGAATATTAAATTTCCAAACATTTGAAATACAAAAGCCTAACAAGTTTTATACAGTGAGTGCAAGATAAAAAAAATTCACCACCCCCATTAGGTGGTTTCTTTTGCTACCCTGTGTCTCTCTCTACCCCTCACAAATTGTCCAGTTCAGAGAGCTTTGGCTTTTGAAATATATATGACACTCAAGGTTGTGTTAAAAATTTAAAATCATTTTTGGTGTCCCTGTTTTTGTGGAATGACTCATTTATATAAGCAAAAATTGCCTTCTATTGAAATGGGGAATATTAGGTGAATACAAGAGAGAACATTAATGAGCAATTTTGGAAAAAGATTAAAATTGCTTCTCAAAAGGAACCAACCGTATGTATGGGTGTATGTGTGTGTATATATATATATATATATATATACTGGATTTTTTATTAACTCTTTTCAGCACAGGCTCTGTTTCTGCAACCGAACTCATAACCATTTTGTGCTTGTTATAGTTTTCATGCTATAACTTTTAAATTAGTAAGTTTATGTTAACAAAATTTGGCAAATTATCAGTGAACATTATAATGCTTTCATACTCAAAATATACATTTTTTTTTTATTAAGTCTTAAGGTTTGTAAAGCAATTTCTTTTTTGCATCTCTTTTTTTCTGTTCAAATGTTGCCTATCCAACATGCAAAGTAATTTTCATTTTAAGATTA